TCACTCAACACTCAATGGTGGATCACAACATTCACTCAACACTCAATGATGGATCACAACATTCACTCAACACTCAATGGTGGATCACAACAGTCACTCAACACTCAATGGTGGATCACAACAGTCATTCAACACTCAATGGTGGATCACAACAGTCACTCAACACTCAATAGTGGATCACAACAGTCACTCAACACTCAATGGTGGATCACAACAGTCATTCAACACTCAATGGTGGATCACAACAGTCACTCAACACTCAATAGTGGATCACAACAGTCACTCAACACTCAATGGTGGATCACAACATTCACTCAACACTCAATGGTGGATCACAACATTCACTCAACACTCAATGGTGGATCACAACAGTCACTCAACACTCAATGGTGGATCACAACATTCACTCAACACTCAATGGTGGATCACAACATTCACTCAACACTCAATGGTGGATCACAACATTCACTCAACACTCAATGGTGGATCACAACAGTCACTCAACATTCAGGGGTACTACTACATCAACTAACTGGGTATTTCAACGGAGAGTAGAGAGACTAGTGGAGGCTCGACTGATGTGTATATCAATTACGGCATTTATTCCCCATCAGCTGGTATGCTGCACACAATAAAGTTAATTACAGCATAGCTATGATTGAATCAACACCAAACAGCGTAAATATTGTATAAAAATGTTGCAAGTGAACTACAGTTGTCAAAATAGTTCAGGATTAAAAATAATTCTGTGATTTTTTAACACATTTTTTACATAAGCAGAATTTATGAAAGCCACTGTATTCATCTAAAATGTAAAAAAAAAATATATTCGATTTTTCCAATTTAATATTCTTCCTAGCATTACTGCAGCGTCAAGGAAAGACACACAACCAAACTATATGTATAGGAATAAACAACTAATAACTGTGAGGAATAACAGGGATATGGATAATGAAAAACGTGAAAGTGGGTCTTATAGGCATGACCGCCCGTTAGGGACAGTACACAGTATACAGTACACAGTACACAGTATACAGTACACAGTATACAGTATACAGTACACAGTATACAGTACACAGTACACTGTATACTAAGCCTTCGATACAAAAGGAGGCAGCATGGTCGGTACTGCACTCGACCGCCTTTACATCCCATTTACAGTAACAGGAGTAGCAGTTATTTTACAGCTAAATCTTATATTAGTAACATCAAAAATAGAATAAGCGATTCAATTTTGTTCACAGCACTATAGAATGGATACTGTACTGCTTCTCTAGAAGGCATTCAGAAAAGGAAGGCAAAGTTATTCTCAGGTCTTAGGAACCTTGAGTATAGAGACAGGATGGAATAAAAAAAACATTCTCTTGAGAGACGTACAGTATAGTGAGGGACGATATGATCGACGTGTATAAATAGAGGATGGAGTTAAATAAAAGAGATAAAACTGAGGCTCTTAAATTATGAAATCAAACACGTAGCAACATTTTTAAATTAGATAAATTTAGATTTTGGCTTGAATCAATAAATTTAGGCTCAGAAATAAAGTTGTGGACGAGTAGAAGAAGTTACCATGCGCCATCGTTAACTCAAAGTCGTTGGGAAGTTTTAAATATACTGTGGGTTTGATAGATATTATGAATTTTAGGGTTGAGTGTGCAGAGGGCTGCTTAGTATGGACCAACAGGCCTATTGCAGAGTCCTTTATTCTTATGTCGCCACAACGGGTCAATATTTCCACGTCAAGGGTCGTGAGAGAAGTGAAATCCTGCGTGCAAGAGAAGAGAGCAGGACTGGTTGATATACTGTAAATGCAGAGTACAAATGGGAGGTGAGTCGCCGGCAGATGACACTTTCTGGTGGGTGATTCGAAAATTAAGTTTAAAATATTACTGAATAAGTTTGGAAGTGAACAAAATAAAAGTGACGGAGAGAAGGGTGAGAGAGAGAGAGAGATTAATATTAACTGGAATGGAGATAGAACGGAGGAAGTGAGATACGGGGTGTCAGGAAATGGAATAATGGGAGACGAACAGAATCACAATTTACAAAGCAGCGGAGGGAAATATTATAATATTAGTTGCATCAAGAAATATGTGGATAGAGAAAACTGTTAAAGGAGGAAAAGATGGGGACGTAGAGAAAAGAGTTGAGGTGACGTCACTGTGCTGGCATGAAATGTACACTTGATGTCATTATAACCGTTTCCACTTCTCTCTCATAACATTTACAACGGGTAAAGTCGTTACTGAATCAATAAGTGCAGTACATTCACAGTGAAAGGTGGAAAGTATATAGACAAATATGAAACTGATATTTCATTTTATAGCTGCAATAATTCCTGGACGAATTGTAAACGATTTATGTTATTGAGAATACTTCTATGTCGCCCTTGTTCTCTCGGATGACTGGGATCGGGTTTTGTTTGAAGTCTGTTGGCGACCATTTCCACGAAATATTTGGAAATTAATACAACTGGGAAAAGTCAGTTCTATAAGTTATAAGTTTAGTTTCTTTTTAATTTTAACAAATTAATGATGCTCAACGCCGTTAATTTGCTTCAACAGGTAAGGTCTTTAGGCGTGTATAAGGTAAATAATTATACTACTCCATTATCCATAGCCATTTTTTTGGTTAATTTCTATTTCCCTTTATCATTTCTATTTCCCTTCTCTCTCTCTCCCGTATTAAGCCATTAAAAGTCGTCACACTTTTCTCCTGCGTTTCTCACTTTTTTCTTTTCTTCAATGACGTCTTTTATTATATTTTCTCGCATTTAATCGCTTCATTTCCAGTTCATAAGTAAAAATCATAATTTATATCCGAACCTAACCACTTAAGTGGTTATCTCAAGTTAACCAAATATATCTTAGAGTCGATGATAAAGACAATAATTTTACGGAGCTCTAAAAATTATAACAAATTATCCAACCTGCTTTACAAATCTATATACGCTGGTCTTCAACTTTATCTGGACGATTATTCCATAAATGCGTATAAGAGAAGTTGTAGTGTCATTGAGACCCAAAATAACTCGAGTTTTGTCAAAGGAAATACAGATGTTTCTATCTTTCATAATTTGTAATTGTTGGTTGACTCCCGCTACCTTTGAAAGACATATAGGAATCTATTTTGATGATTGGTCACCTAGTTTGTTGTGTGTGCCTCTTCTATACTGCTTTCCTCATCCTCTTGTTAAGACCCTGGCATATTGTCTTAGATTCTTTCTATTTTGGTAAGTGTCTAAATTAATTAGTCCAACTAATTAAGTGAATCAAAGGCTCATTTCTGAACAAGACAAAGACAAATCATTTTCACTCCAGACAACTTACAAGACTAACCCTCGTGCAACAGGTGGTGAGAAGAGTCGTCAGGCAGAAGTTGACACCAACAATTGGAGCGGATGATGGATGACGTGAGCTCTCTGTCTCTCTGTTTCACCAAATATTTTAAAACTTTCCAAAGATTCTTGATAAATGACAAAATTATTCTGATATGTTAAATGGATGACTTCAATTCATAAAACTATAAATAATCTAGTCAGGGGACGCAAGGTATCTCCGTTATGGTAAGATTTTGTTTATCTCTACTTCCTGAACATAAGATAGGATGATCAAGAGTTTCACTTGAAATATTCATAAGAAGACTATCTTCCCGAACCCTGCAAGTTGTAACCCGGGGCACTGTATTTATTTATTATTATTATTTATTTCTATTTCTATTTCTAAAGAAAGATCATCTCTCACCGTAAACAGTTCACGCCGAATGCTCTAAATAGTATAAATTGTGTAGCTGATTAATAAAACAATAAGCTCTTATGAATTGTCTTGTAACTTTGACTAAAGAAGTTTGTCCGCGAAGAAACATTCGGATCTCATGGCCCTTCCTGCGTTTTGAAGGTCTTCCCTCTCGTCTCCTCTTTGACGGTGCTAATGAGCCTCTCCTCTGGCAATACATGAAAGACAAATTGAAGTCGTACTCAAAACAGATGTCTCATAAGCGATGATGATGAGGTCTCAAGATAACAGGAAAAGGAGATGCAGAAGTCATTGGTTATGTTCAATGATCGCTGAATTAGTGAGACCAAACCTCATCACTAACTATAGCCTTGAAACTGACATAATATAAGGAGTCTGATTATGATTAAGTTCAATGAGCATTAAATTTAATAAAATTTACTGTAAATTCAACAAGACTGTAATAATCACTCCTATAACCTTCTACAAGCGTGAGCGCCACTTTTATCTGTATAGTAAACGATCCTAATATTGGCTTTAGTAGTTCACAGTAACAAAAACGTGAGTAGTCCTGATGATGACGCACAAGTGTCTGACCGTATAGAATCCTATAGATTAATTCTGCTGTCTCCATCCGTCCAACAGCTTGGCACGTAAAACTTCCTCTACATCTCCCTGCACAGTACTACACACTTTCCATCTCTCCCTACACTTCCACATCACCTCACACACCCTCCAAGTCTCCCTGCACAGCACTACACACCCTCCACGTCTCCCTACACCTGCACAACGCCACACATCCTCCAAAGAAAAGACAAGGCAAGTGACTCGAGAAACGTGAGTTTGTACCAACTATTTATTTCTTCATGTGCTGGAATAATATAAGTTGAGGCCAGTAATGTACAGTAGTCTTCACACAAAACTTAGTCTGTCATATCACAGGATTACTACAAAATATAGTCATTGGCTATGAGCGCTGAACTTGTGTGCAACTTGAAGCTTTCATTTTTGAAGACGTGTGCTGGCAGCGTCCACAGCCGATGATTGTAGCTCTGGTGGTAAACTACGATTATGAAACTATGTTTATTCTTACCCCCGTAAAGATGTAATGAACTAATTGTCAAATTACTATTAATATTTATGTAGATTTTATACATAATAATATATTTTATCGCATTGAAATGTGAGAAAAAGTAATATCAGTTTAATTTACTAAACTTTGCACAAGATAAATGATATGGCAATCACAAATATTTTGTTTTTCAGATCTCGGTGTCTGGTGAGAAGACGATGATGAGAGAGAAGGTGGGTAAGCGTGTGTGAGGGAGTGAGGTGAGGCTCAATCACTAGTCTCTCACGCCCACTGCTGGCCACCAGGCTCTCTTGCACACACTTCCACTCGCATACATATACCACGGGAATCTACCATGCTACTATATTTTCATTGCCTGGTAGGAAATAACTGATACCCTCTGAGTGTGTAATAGACTATATCAAGTTACTGTGTTTAACTGAGGCAAAGATGTGTGGTAAGACTGAACCTTGATAGTCTACTGAAGGTGAAGACTAAACATACTCGGTTGACTATATTGTGTGTGGTGTACGGAGTGTTCTATATTAGTGAAGTCTTCTTGAACAATAAAACGAAGATCAACATCGACTACGGTCAGTGAGGAATAATTTTGCCGGGGAGCTGTGTAGAGATCTTGGTGTGCCAGGCTCAAGACCATGGACGTGCTCACCTGGGCAACACTCTTCATGCTTATCAGCATACATGGTAGGTAAACTGCAGTAATTCTTCCCAACCAAGACAAAAATGACATATATGCATGGCCATAAATTATCGCATGGGAAATAGAATGTCTAAGCACATAATTGCGGACTAATAATTATGTGAGTTTATGTCCGAGTGTGTGTATATATATATATATATATATATATATATATATATATATATATATATATATATATATATATATATATATATATATATATATATATATATATATATATATATATATATATATATATATCTATATCTATATATATATATATAATATTGAAAAGCACGGCTAACCTACATCAATAAGTTTCAATAAAAAACAAAAAATTTCCGACAGATATGTTAACAAATCCATTATTTCAATGAATACACGAAGATTTTAGTTGAACCTCGATTTACGCGGTTCTAGTTTACGCGTTTGGTCATTTACGCCGTACCTTGCCAGAACCGGGATGCCCGATTTACGCAGTGAATTTACTCATTTACGCGGGAAGCGGCGCGGGCAGGGTGCACACAAGGTCGCCCAGTCATCAAAACATTACCGAGTTCTTCACCGGCCACCCACCACAGCTGACCCAAGTCAGTGATAGTGAGGATATGGACTTTGAGGGGTTTGACAAAGAGGCCCTGCAAGCCTCTGTGGTGGATAGTGATACAATTGATACAAGTGATACAGGTGAGGGTCAATAATCTGCCCTCTGCCTCGGAACCAACCCCCCCATCCCCGTGTGCCCAGCCATCTTTTCTACTGATGTAAGTGTTAAAAATCTAATATTATTGATATTTCTCTTAATTATTAATTGTGTGTGCATACCATCATAAAATTAAGATGTTATTTTTACTACAACGTAGGTATTGTGTCTGAAAAAGTGGAGTTTGGGAGTTGACCCAGTCTCTATTTCAATTAATCCCATATGTTCTGTTATTCCATTTATGCGTTTCTCGTTTTACGCGTTACTCCATGGGTTCAATTGACCTCGTAAATCGTGGGACCACTATACTGATCTAAAATAGTCCTTTTTTACATATTGGCTTATTACATTATGGAGAAATCTTTTTTGTCATTGACTGATATAATATTAGGACATGTGTGTTTTTGCATACAGTAATGTACAAATACACTACTGACCATGAATATACTGTATAGTGTTCCAACACCAACCACTTCGCGTTTTAGCACCGTGTTCCGTCCTTTTCGAAATAAAGTTGTCACTTTTATATTACTCATGAACTGTTTCCTCGGTGAAAGTTTCCGAGTAATTTCTAGGGGAAGTAGTTGAGGTGAGGAGGGAGAGTCGACAAGAGACTGACAGCTCGCTCCGAGGGCCCAAAGTACTTGCATGTACAGTTCCGTTCAGAAATTCGTTATACACCCGCGGTGGAGGGCGCCTAGCCCGTTGCACCCTTCCTGGACGGCAGGTCACTACGCCCAACCTCCCACCAACACAGTGGAGACTGAAAAAGGAACAGTTTGATTCGAACGAAGAATCATCCAAAAGAGATGGGAAGGAATATGAATATCGGCTGACGTTAGTTCTGATGGATGATGAAGATCTCTTTGGTACCTTATTCTCCTCTAATTCCACCTTAGGCGATTCCAACTCTATCCCTCCTACCCCTGCTCCTCCAACTGAACTATGCACTTTTCTATAATCTCCACTCGTAAGGTTGCTGGTGTGTTATCCAGGTTGGATGTGAGTAAGGCGCATGGACCGGACTGAATACCCCCTGTTCTGAGGGAGTGTGCTGAAGCTCTGGCCCCTGTGCTTGCTCGCCTCTTTCACCTTTGCCTCAAAACTCAAACTTTTCCTTCTTGTAAGCATGCCTTGGTTCAGCCCATCCCAAAGAAGGGTGACCATTCCAATCCCTCTAACTATCGCCCCATTGCCCTAACTTCTTCCCTCTCTAAGATTTTCGAAACTATCTTGAACTCTCATTTTCTCCGTCACCTTGAACGCCATTCTCTTTTGTTGGATCACCAGTATGGCTTTCACCAGGCGAGATCTACTGGCGATCTGCTCTACTGCACCCATCTTTGGTCATCCTCTCTTAGGGATTATGGGGAAACTTTCGTCGTGGCACTCGACATCTCCAAAGCATTTGACAGGGTATGGTACAAGTCTTAGCTTTTTAAACTTCCCTCTTCTGGTTTCTCTCCTCCACTTTGTTTTCTAATCTCTAGCTTCCTTGAGAACAGATCCATGGCAGTTGTTTTCGAGGGATCGATTTCTCGCTCTTTCTCTACCAGTAGTGGCGTCCCACAGGGTTCTTTTCTTTCACCTACTCTCTTCCTTCTTTTTATCAATGATTTACTTCACACTACAACTAATTCTATCCATTCTTACCCTGATGATTCTACTCTTCACTCTTCACATTTTCCCCTTCCCCCAAGTCCCAAACTAGATCTGTTTCTAGAGCTGATATCATTACATCTATCAATGCGGATCTGTGCAGCATCTCCCAATAGGGAGGTAGAAACTTGGTTAAATTGTAATAAAACTCAGTATTTACCAATTACACTTTCCAAATTAGATGATCTCCCACTATTCACATTTCAGGACGCTATCATTCTGCCAATTTCTAAAAAAAAAAAGTATGTTAGGCCTCACCATTTCCTCTAATATGAGATGGAAGCCACACATCCTCAACATTGCTAAAGCTGCCTCTCAAAAGTTGGGAATGCTGTACAGATGCCGAAGCTACTTCACTCCTGAGCAGTTGCTTCAAGTATATACGGGTCTCATTCGTCCTAACTTGGAGTGCTGTTCTCTTATCTAGGGTGGCTCTTCTTCTGCCTAACTGTTAGATAGGGTGGAATCAAAGGCATTTCGTCTTATTAACTCTCCTCCTTTAGTTGACAATCTCTCTTCCCTTTCTCTTCGCCGCAATGTTGCTTCACTCTTTCTCTTTTACAGATACTTCAACGGGCAATGTTCGGTGGATTTGGCCCCGTTGTGGGTCGCTGACCTGTGCCCGGGTGGGCTAATCCCCGTAAAAAAATTTATTATCTCTCTCTCTCTCTCTCTGTATCTATCTATCTGTCTGTGCCCACTCTATCATAGGAACATTAAATGTCGCAGACAGGGGAAGAGAGGAACGTCTATAGACAACTGTGCATATAGTTATAATTAACCTGGCAAAAGTATCTGAGCAATACAGATAAAGAGAAGAACTCTTCTCCTTCACCAGCCAAAAGCTTGCTACTCTCATCCTCACAATCAAGTCTGAGACAGTGCTGTCCAACGTGTCTGAATTTCAGCCCCACATTCACAGCGAAGCTGACTCGCGAATCATTCTGCACTAGGCTCACGCTTGTCGCCAGAGGCACGAGAGAGCAAATGTACTAACTGTGGGTAGTAATGTTGTCGTGCTTGTCAACGCCTTCTTTGAGAAACTTGGTCTTTCAGAGCTCTTGGTCGCTTTTGGGAATGATGAGAACTACAGTGATATCCCAGTCCACGACCTGCAGTTTCAATTGGGTCCTTCAAAGTCACTGGCACTTCCCCTCTTCCACGCACTCACTGGTTGTGATACAACCTCTCAGATCCTTTGTTGAAGAAACAAGACTGCTTGGTATGTGGAACAGGGTGCCTGGGTTGATGGAGACGCTGCTTCCTCTCTCAGATGACCCCGAGTCCCTCACTTTAGAATTCATCCACATGAAGCGGCTTGAGCGGTTCTGTGTACAGCAAGAGCTGTAGCGCTACAACAGTCAATGAGGCGAGGCGAAAGCTCTTCAACCATGGCTTACGCTTTCTTTAGTTAATCCCTTCAACTCAAGCATTTCATCTGGGAACAGGCTGTCTCTCTTCACTAGGAAGTTCCTGAATTTGACAAGTGGAGATGGGAGTTGGATGAGAAGAATAAGCAGCGGGTTCCCGTCTGGACCATACTCGCAGATGCCAGCAAGGCATGTTCCATTCTCCTTTACTCCAGCTGTCTGAAAGCATGCCAAAGGAACTGCAAGTGCAGCAAGGCAGGCCTTCGCTGCACAGTACTTTGTGGGTGTGAGGGAAGCGGCTTAAACAACGATGATGATCAGTGATGAATCAGTTGTAGCTAATAGTAAATAATTTCTATTTCACTCCGGGCATTAATATTTATTTGATTGATTTTAATATTCAGGTATTTTATTAATATACAGTATGGTTATTATCTGATTTTGATCGCGACGGTATTTCATTTGTATCCACGCTCATAACATGTGATTCAACCTAGTCATTTCATTCAATTTGATTCCTTTGATTTATTCTATCATATGTTTGTTATTTTATTCCATTATATTACTTCCATTCTCTTCTTTTCTATTATTTATTTATATTATTATTGTATCTATTATTCTATTATATGTTCTATTTTCTTCTATTCTATATCTAATATACTATAGGAATAGCCGTCTGTCTGTCTGTCTGTCTGTTCTGGCCAGCCGAAACGGCACAATCGTTTTTCATCAAACTTGGTAGAAAAATCGCAAAATTCGTAGAGTGGAACAAACCTGGTCCCATGTCGATGGTTTCTTTAGGAAGGCATTAATTAACCATTTTATTTACGCTGGAAAACGATGCAAGTCTACTGATTTGGTGCACCCTCATTTGCTGTACGCTGTCAGCCGGACGGCAGTTGCCCGCTAGCCAAGCACAAGCGTTCAAACTTTCACCCGGCACGAAGGGCCCACGATCACTTGTCTATTCTATTTATGACTATTGATTTTATTGATCCCTGGATTCGATTTGATTCTAATTGAGGCACGCATTTAACAGTTGTACTGATTACTAAGGGGTGGCTTCATAAAATAATCTTTCACTTTTATCTACAACATGGAGTCATACAGGGCTCTAAATCGAAAGATTAAAAAGTCAGCTTTTCAAGATGGTCGCCAGTGGTTCTGGAAAAGACATTGACCTTGCTGACCGGACCTTGATCAAAGATGCCCTAAGACATCACCAATGGCCCTAAAATTCTGGTAATACACCTTTCAGATACCTAGATCATTA